TAAGTCCCTTGTCTGACATGTCATTACCAAAAACTTTTTCCCAGTCTGTGGCTTCCCTTTTTACCCTGTTAGAGAAGTTTCTGGATGCTCATAGGGATTTGATTCTTAGAAGGTCCCATTCATCTGTTTTATCTTCTGGTTGGAAACTGTTCTTTTCTAATGTAGATGTTGAGTACTGTAGATTTTCTCTTAAACACTGCTTATAATGGCATACCACAAATTTTGCTGTGATGTGTTTTCATTTCATTCAATTCATAGTGTATTAAAATCTTCCTTTTGCTTTCTTCTCTGACCCATAGATTATATAAACGTATGATATTTAGTTTTCAGATTTAATTGTGTTGTCATTAGAGAACATATTTTATGTGACTTGTGTTTTTTAACTTACTGAATTTTATGGTCCAGAATATACTGCTTTGCACTGGGGAGATTGGTACGGTTTATCTGTTTACTGCATCTCAGTGTCAAGAAAACAAAGATTCTTACCACTGGACCAATAGGCAACATCATGATGAATGGAGAATTGATTGAAATTGTCAACAGCTTCATCTTGCCTGAATCCACAGTTAACACCCTTAGTACCAGCAGTCAGGAAATCAGGAGATGCATTGCACTGGAAAAAATCTGTAGTTAAGGTCCTTCCAAATTATTGAGGAATAACGCTGTCAGTTTGAGAACTCAGGTGCATCTGATTCAGGCCATAGTGTTTCCTGTTGCTTGCTATGCATTTGAATGCTGGACAGTGAATAAGGATGACAGAATTGATGCCTTTGAGCTGCTGTGTTGGAGAAGAGCACCGAACATCCCATGGATGGCCAAGAGAACAAACGGATACATCTTGGAGAGGGTGCAGCTGGCGTGCCCTTTGGAGGCAGGAATGATGAGGCTTTGCCTCACATACTTTGAGCATGTTGCTAGGAGGGGCCATTCCTCGGAGAAGGACGTGATGCTAGGAAGGATGGAGGGTAAGCGAAGGAGAGGAAGACCCTCAGCCAGGTAGACTGACACAGTGGCTGCTGCAATGGGCTCTTGTGTGTCAGGAAGGATGACGATGGCACAGGATAGGACAGGGTTTAGATCTTTTGTTAATATGGTCAGTATGAGTCATATTCCACTTGGTGGTACCTGACCATAACAGGTATCCCTGTTCTTCACTCCCTCATTGTCCAGTGTATTGAAGGCGGCTGAATGTATTTTTTTGATGCAGGAGTTCTTGTTAGGTGCTGTCGAGTATGACTCGTAGCAACCTTATGAACAGCAGATCTAAATCCTATCTCATCTGTGCCGTTCTCCTCTGACACTTGATCCATTGCAGTCACTGTTTCAGTCCATCTCATGCAGGAGAGGTGAGGATAAGTAGAGTTCCTGTTTTTTTTCTGCTTTGGTAGAGGTTGAATTTTTATTTTTACAATGCTTTTTATTGCAACACAACATGTGAAATAGTCCAGAAATGTATGTGCCACTGATTGAATTATCACAACATTAATGCATCTGTTTAACTGTCACCAGTGTCAGGAAAGAAAACATTATCTTGAATCTCAGAAGCCCAAACTCTGGAAATTCTTCAGCATTGTTGGCTATAAGGATACTGTTTCACTTTATGAATGAGCTGCATATTACTTATACATCCCACTGATGAAGATCATTTGTACTGTTTTTAGCTTCCCCACCTTGCCCCTTCCTAGCTTGTGGCTTTATAATTTATCAATAAACATTTTATTTTTTAAAACATTACTAATTTTAGACTTTGGATTCCTATTCATTCATTGTTGCACTTTTCTCCCTGCCCACCTCTTCCCCTAAACATTTCGTGTGTGTGTGTGTATATATCTTTTCTTTAATGTATGTACCCAGTTCTCTTGAGTATGAACCTAGGATTAAAATTGTTGGATATGCCTAAGTTCAACTTCATTGTATGATAATATACAATTTAAAAAATGTTTTATATCAGTAATGTTATGACCAATTTATAATTAATATTGTTGGTATTTTTAAAAAGTAGCATTTTTTTATTTATTAGAATCTCAGTTATAATTGTATAAATTTATTTCCTTTATAACTCATGTAATTGAGAACCTTTTTCCATTTTGATATGCATAAATCCATCAGCAAATCCTGATATCTCTACTGTTAAAATATACGTGGAATCTATTCAAAAGTCCGGGCTTGAGTATCTGCTTTTGAAAGTTCTATCCATTTCTAAGATCTCAGTCTTACAGGAGTCTAAGAATTGGAGCAGTCCCAAGTAAACTGAATGACACACACATTAAAGATCAAATTGGAAATTAGTGATACAGAAAAAGGGAAAATCAGTAAAGCTCAAACTTGACCTGTAGTGGATTTAATGATGACTTTGTCCTTGATTTAGCGACTGAATAAATTTGGACAGCAAATGGCACTTTTATATATTTTCTTCTGCTTGTATGCATAATGAAAAGAACAAAATAAATGGTTTTACTCTTTAATTCTTTCATGATTTTCCGCCCCCATGCTTAGATGATCTTGGCATTTAAAACTATGTACTTTTGCATTTACAATGAAATTTATTGTTAGCTAATGTTTCATTACAAGAAGCATCAATAATGATTGTGATTTTTTTTTTTAGAAAACATTTTACTGCTGTAATGGAAGAGTTTCATTTAATGTATCAATGTTTCTACTCCTCCCAACCCCCTCCCCCGCCCATTCTAGGTTTCTGAAGGATTGTCATTTTTACATAGTAGCGTGAAAATGGTTCATGGAAATATTACTCCTGAAAATGTCATTTTGAATAAAAGTGGAGCCTGGAAAATAATGGGCTTTGATTTTTGTGTGTCATCGACCAATCCTTCTGAACAAGAGGTAATAAAAGTTTTAGTCATCTCATTTTTAAAAACACTGTAAACCTGTGATGACATCTGGAGTGGATTAGCGAATTTGTTAATCTGAATTAGAAATAGGCTAGTAATGCAGTGCTATATTTAAATGTATTGCTTTATAGGAAATTGTTTTTCTTAATTGGGACTTTTGTTATGTATTGTCTAGCTGAAATGGACCCTCCAGCAGGTTTTCTGAAACAGTTTATCATGTGGAGGAGTTTCCCATCTTTCTCCTGTGAAGCACATAGAGAATTTCAACCATGTGCTTTTGGCCTAGTTTTTATTAAAAGTATTCTTCATCTTATTAGTTCTACAGTAATTAATACTATTTGGAAAGAAGGTGCCAGATTTATATTAAGTTCAGAATTATTGTATAAAATAATCGGTTATTTATTCTTGTCAGAACTTAAAAGTATACTGTCATGCCCTGAATTTCTTCTACTAGTGTTTCTCCAGTTTATTCAGCCAAAGAATATTCTTTAGAGGATACATTGATAATAGTAGCCAACATTTACCGAAACATTTCCCTTATTATTATTTGTGGTTTTACTCCTCACAATAATTTTATGAGGTATAGGAATGACACAGATAAGTACAGTAACTTACGTAACCTGTTTTTTGCAATTGGTTAATAAACAAGTCAGAATTTGAACCCAGTCTTTTTGGTTCTAATGCATCTGTTCTTGATAGTCATGTTTTTTGAGGAAGCATTAAACTAAGTTAATCTGCTTTTGTGTTGATTATTTTTTATGCATGTAATACGGCATCTTGTAATTTAGAATTTTACCTTGTGTAATTGTTAAACAACCAAGATGTGACCTAAAGATGATCCAATTTAAGGAGCTATTTTTTTTATTAACTTTTTTTAAAAGTTTACATAAGTTTGTATATGAAATTGGTATACATTGTGTTTCACAGTATCTTTCATTAACATATTGTTGCATGCAGTCATTCCCATTCATTATATTTTATAAACTCAATCACCATTGAACGCTGTCTACCCTTACCATCTTTCCAGATCCCTGCCAAGTCTTTCCCATTTCCTTTACCCCTTCTACCTCCACCCACCAAACTGTGCAACCCTATGATTTCCCCCTGTCTACTTTCACTCCTCTGTTCCCACCCATTCTCCCCCCTGGGTCTCCATATTGTTTCTACAATAATGGTTCTGTGCAGGATTTACCCTTATGAGACTGAGTCTCCCCAGCTATGTATATTCACACAATGGAATATACCACAATTCTCAACCCGTTCAATTGTGGTTGTACATTTGAGTTGTTGCCATGTTCTTGTGATTATGAATAACACTGCTATGAACACTGGTATACAAACTCAGTTTGTGTCTCAGTTAAAATTTCACAGCAACAATTTCTAAAATTACTACATACACTGATGGTTCTCTTTTCCTCAGGGTGTATTTCTAGCAGTGGAATAGCTGGGTCATATGAAATTTCTGTGTTCAGCATTTTGAGGAAATGCTAAACTGCTTTCCAGAGTGGTTGTACCATTAAAAATTTTTTTTTAATTAATTTTAGTGAAAGTTTACAGAGACTTAGGGTTTCCAATCATTCACTTTTCTCCCTGCCCACCCCCGCCCCCACAATTCACTCTTCTTAAAAAGTAAAACTCTTTAATTACTTTGCAATGCCAACTCCACCCCCACCCCCTAAGTCCACTCTACTGCGCAGCTTTCCTTCTGGACTCTTTTATCATGAGAATAGTTGTACCATTTTCTAATCCCCCAAATAGTGTATGAGAGTTCCCCCTCTCCACATCCTCTCCAACATTTATTGCTTACTGTCCTATTAAACTTTGCCACTGCTATTGGGTGAGATGGCTTTGATTTGCATCTCTCTTATGGCCAGTGATTTTGAGCATTTCTTCACGTGTTTGTTGGCCATCTAAATATCTTCCTCTGTGAAAAGTCTTTCCATGTCTTTTGCCTGTTTTGTAATTGTGTCATCAGTCTTTTTCTTGTGGAGGCCCTGTAGGAGTCCCTAAACTTTTCTTATGAGACCCGTCTGAGATGATATTGACAAATATTTTTTTCCAGTCAGTAGGTTTTCTTTTCACTCTGTTGGAGTTTTTGATGCACACAGGGATTTAATCTCTAGAAGGCCCCATTCATGAATTTTATCCTCTCCTGGTTGTGTATTTCTGGCTATATTTGACAACCTCTTTATAGCAACCTTTTTTTTTTTTTTAGGAGAAGCAGGAAGTCTTTGATAGAGTACATACTGTGGTACTGTTTTAGATCTGTCCTCTGCATATTTGTTTAATCCTTAAAACAGTCTTTTGAACTTAGTAACTAAATTATATGACTAGTTAGTGGAAGAATAAAGTTTCAGTGGGCAATCTGAAACCTGTGTAGTGTATACTAGTTCTTCTCATTTTCACACTACATCTCTCTAGTGATGATTTGTCCTCTAGGAGAAAACTTTAGCCACAAAATTTTGAAGATGTCTTGTTCTTATCTCTCAGTTCACTGTTTGCACTTCCCGGTTTGTAGCTTGAAGAATTTTAGGATACAAAGTGATAGTAATATTTTTATTTGTGTGACTAAAGTTTGAATCTTAAAGCTAGATTACTACTGCATCATGCACTTTGCTTTCACTTGAAATATCTAATTTACATAATCTTTTTTTCCCTTTCAGCCCAAGTTCCCTTGCAAAGAATGGGACCCAAATTTGCCATCATTGTGTCTTCCAAATCCCGAATACTTGGCTCCTGAATACATACTTTCTGTGAGCTGTGAAACAGCCAGTGATATGTACTCTCTAGGAACTATTATGTATGCGGTTTTTAATAAAGGGAAGCCTATATTTGAAGTCAACAAGCAAGATATTTACAAGAGTTTCAGCAGACAGTTGGATCAGGTACTTAATTATCAAAATGCAGTTACATTAAATATGTGGTGAAATATTCATGCTTTTTCAGAAAACTGTGTTCAGAAAATTCCCCCAAATTAGATAAGTATTCCGTATTTTAAGTTTTTAAATACTTAATGAAAGTTCTTGTATAAACAATGAGGGCAAATTCAGCTTTGTGTTTCAGAAAGTCTTTTCAGAGACTTGTGTGTCCTTTAGCTCTTGTGGACTTGTCTTAATTTTCTTCAGCTTCAGCATGAACCTGCATATGAGCAATTGATGTTCCACATTCAGCATCTGACCCTGTCCTTAAAATACTGAACTTTACCATTGAATAAGTCATTATCTTCCAAAATTGTGTTGTGAAATCTCTGGTATTATTTCTGTCACCAAAGCCATATTTTTAAATTTTAAATTGCTAATCCTTTTTTATTTCCAGCTTTTGCATTCCAATCCCCAGTAATTATCAATGCATCTTGATTGCATGTTTGATCAACTTCAGACTGCAGAAGTTGGTAAAAATCTTTAGTTTCATCATCTTTGACACCAGTGTTTGGTACATAAGTTTTATGCACATGGCTCTTTTCTGATTGCTAACCACTTCCTAAATAACATGCCTCCTGAAACTCTATGAACTTTGATAAATGTAGATCGTTGTAGAGGACCTTCAGGTCTTTTGTTTATAGGGTCACTCTGAGTCGTGCTTGACTCAAAGGCAATCAACAGCAACAACAGCAGCAGCATTGTATTTCAGGCTGGATCTTGATCTGTTCTTTTTGAGAATGATAATTAAAAAATAGTTGCAACTGCATATCTACATTTAACTGCTAGAAATTCATGCTGAATTCAGAGGAAAATAAGGGATGAAGGTTATCAGAGTTGATGTCAGATGGATTTTACCTGAAAGCAGGAAGTACCATATAAATTTTATCTTCATTTTATTGACTACTTAGATTAGATTGTGTGAATCAATAAATTATGGGTGACATTCTGAAGAATAGGACTTTAAGAACTTTTAATTTTGCTCATTCAGAACCTATACATTGCCCAAGGGACATGTGCTCTACCAGAACAACTGGAGTGGTTTGAAATTAGGAAAGATGTCAGCCAGGGCTGTGTCCTTTCACTATACTTATTAGACATATATGCTGAGCAAATAATCCAACAGTCTAGAAATACGAAGAAGAATAAGGCATCAGGATTGAAGGAAGACTCATTAACAACTTAGCGTATATAGATGACACAGTCTTGCTTGATGTAAGTGAAGGGAATTTGAGGCATTTCCTGATGAAGATGAAAGATTACAACATGCATCATGGAGTACATCTTGACAAAAAGAAAACAAAAATCCTAATAATTGCATAACCAATAAAGAACATCAGATAAACATAGAAGAGATAAAAATTGCCATGAATTTTTGTTGTTAATCTTGGATCCACTGTCAGTGTCATTGATGCTGCAATCAAGAAATGAACCATTTTGATAAATCTGCTGTAAAGGCCTCTTTATAGTATTTGGAAATGAAACATTGAGGACCTAGGTATGCCTGAGCCAATCCAGTGTATTTTCCATTGCCTCATGCAAATGAATAAGGAAGACCTCAGAAGAATTGATGACTTTGAGTTATGCTTTTGAGAAAGAATATTAACTATATTATGGACTACTGAAGACTATTACTAATAACACATGCAAGCAAAGTCCTGAAGATTTTTCAAAAAGTATTGAAACAGCACATCAACAGAGAACTATCAAAATTACAAGCAGGGTTTAAAAGAAACTGTGGCACTAGGGATATTATAGCCATTGTCAGATGGGTCTTGGCTGAGAAGAGAGAATACCAGGGGAATGTCTATCTGTGTTTCAGTGAACTGTGCAAAGGCATTTGACTGTGTGGATCACGACAAATTGTAACTGACTTTTAGAAGAATGGTGGTTCCAGTACAATGTATTTAATTTTTTTCTCTCCTATGTCTAAGAAACTTCATGATCTAAGTATACTCATGTTATCAGATGAACTGGCAGATACATCCAAACTGTCTATAAGGCTCAAGCTATTTAGAAGGCTGCCTGGTATTAACAATTTACAGACACAGATGAATCTAAGAGTTTCTATTTTGAAGCCTGGAGAGCACAATTATACATTTAGTTTAATCCCCTTCGGTTTGATCTGTTGGGCATTGTGCTATAAAATGACTGTACACAAACCTTTTCTTAAAAAAAATACTGCATAAACACTTTATAGGCAATGCTTTTGCTTTATATATATATTTTAATACATATCCAGAATGTCTTTATTACATATATTATTACAAGTACATTATTAAAAAAAATGATTCTTAGACTTTTGACAATATTAATTCGTTTCTCTTTGAATTATTTTTTTAAATTTATATTTAATGTTATTGCTGTTTTGAATAGTTGAGTCGTTTGGGATCTAGTTCGCTCACTAATGTACCTGAGGAAGTCCGTGAACACGTAAAACTGCTGTTAAATGTTACTCCAACTGTAAGGCCAGATGCAGATCAAATGACAAAGGTGAGTGCACACAAATTCTGACTTAAGTAAAGGGACAAAAGAAGTCGTTCAAATGCTTCTTAAGTAAAATTTTTGGAGGCAGGAATGGCATCTACTTCCTAAACAACATGCCTCCAGAAACTGAATTTTGATAAATCTTGGTACTTACAGAGAGGCTTCAGGCCTTTTGTTCATAGGGTAACTATGAGTCATGCTTGACTCGAAGGCAATCGACAACAATAGCAACAATAACAGAATAATATTTAGACAACTCTAGTCCCCAAATAAGATACCTTTGTTATTGAGAATATTTTTAGCTTTTTCATAATCTAAGATTATATATATGTAATTGCTCTGATGGGAAGTTAACATTTCAAATGAATAGGGTCCTAAGAGTCAAAGTAAATTTGTTGAAGTTCTGTGCTTTCGAAGAATTCAACTAATGTAAGCATAGATTTTTAGTAATTTATTGATGCTTTTTATGCCTTCACATTATTTATCTTTCAGTATTTTAGTAGCTACCAAAATGTTACTGCTCAACTGACTCACAGATACTAATTTTTATGATTTCTACTTAAAAAGAAATGAATCAGCTTTTCTTTTATCCTGATTTTATAGTTATAATTTCTATTAAGTTATCCTTAACAGTTCTCACTCTTTATATATATCTATATATCTAGATATACAAACACACACACACCCCCCAAATGGTGGTGGTATCAAAAAAAGAAGTTCTTTAATGTTAATATTTATCAATATATTGTCATTTCATGTCCTTGTTTTTAGATTCCCTTCTTTGATGATGTTGGTGCAGTGACACTGCAGTATTTTGATACCTTATTCCAAAGAGATAATCTTCAGAAATCACAGTTTTTCAAAGGACTGCCAAAGGTTCTGCCAAAACTTCCCAAGGTTTGTTCCTGATCATTTTCTGAGTATAGCCAGGATCTTAGAATTGAATTTTTACATTTAATTACCATGACTTTTCTAAAGAAATAAAGACGACCTTTGCCATAATAAAAAATGGTATATAACAAACAAGGATATTTCCTGTGCCATGCTTAAATCATTAAATGTCTGACGTTTATAAGTTGTCTTTATGGAGATCACTACCATACCAGCAGTTGAGGTTGGTGGTTCAAATACACGAGCAGCTCTTCAGGAGAAAGATGAGGCAGTCTGTTTCCATAATGACTTATAGCCTCAGGAACCCTCTGAGTTCTACTTTGTCCTGAGTTGGAGTCCACTTAATGACAGGGGTGGGTGATAAGTCCTTATTTATAAGTACTGTTATCTCCTCCTTAGTATGGTCTATAGGGAGTTTTACTGCTAACTTTAAGGCTAGTTCCTTCTGGCAATTTGAATCTACCAGCTGCTCTCCAGGAGAATGATAGGTATTCTCCTTCTATGAAATTTACTCATTGAGTTGACTCATAGAATTGATTGCCCAGGTATGAGATGAATAAGCTCATGTGACAGAATCAATCTGCGTCCTAGAATACTCTGACCTGCAGTCTTGACTTGGGCACATCACCGAGTCTTTCCCCCCTTAGTTGCTGTCTTCTGTTGAATCAGAACCGACTTAGTCAAAGGCATTAAATCACCTCTAACAATTTCCTTAATTCTCCCTCTTTGTCTTAGGAAAGCATGAATGTACTATAGTCTAAAAAGATTGGTCAATTAGAGGAAATGGGTTGCAACAATTTGTTCAGTGTTGGAAATTAAAAATTCTAACTTGGTGATTAGAACTGTTCTCTAATACACAAGCATTTTCTGCTGGCTTAACTAATGTGTAAACATAATTAATAGCATCAAAACTGTGAGGTTATAGCTCAAAGTTATAAAAGTACAAATTAGGGCATTGGACAGGGCTTATTAAATTGTATGATATATATCAGAAGTGATGAAATAATTAAAAGGAGAAATGTATTGGTGAAGACTAATTTAGGAAAGTATCCTAAATGGTCATTTGTTGTTCTTTGTCTGGATAGTTCCAGATTGTGCTTCCCTCTCCACTCCATAATATTCAAGATTATACCCTTTGTCCTGACATGGCTGGAAATAGCAATCTGTTTCACTGTCAGAAATGTCCTAGTTTGTATATACATTACGTGATTACGTTACCTAAAAGGATTTGTTGTTGGTAGGTGTTGCTGAGTTTAGTACAACTCACAGCAACCCTGTGAACACAGATAAGAACCCTGGCCTATCCTGTGTCATCCACATTATCTCTGACACAGTTGAGCCCATTGCTGCAGTCACAGTGTCAATCATCGATCTCTTGAGGGTCTTCCTCCCTTCCGCTGACTCTCCACTTTGCCAAACATGATGTTCCTTTCCAAGGAATAACCGGTTCTAACAACATGCTGAAAGTATGTGAGACATAGCTTTGCCTCCCTTGCCTCCAAGGAGCACCCTGACTGTACATTTCCCAGTACTTAATCTGTTCTTATGGCAGTCCATGAGATATGTAGTGCACCTCTCCAACTCCAGCATCACAACTCAGAGGCACCAATTCTTCTGTCATCCTAAAAGGATTGTTTGCTCTCCAGTTGGAACAGAGTCATAGCTGACCCGTTAGCTCATTTCTAGAGGCAGTTAATAGCACAGGAGGAGACTGTCCATCTTTCTCCCATGGAGCAGCTGGTGGATTAGAACTGAGTGTGTTTGGAATTTTAGGACAGCTTCTTACTACTAGGCTGTCAGAGCTCCCAGTTAGGACATTTGAAACTGTAATCTCGGTGTTAACACGAAAGATATGAAATAATTTTTTCTGTACGAATGTCTTGTCTTTCAGCGGGTAATCGTGCAGAGAATTTTGCCTTGTTTGACTTCAGAATTTGTAAATCCTGACATGGTACCTTTTGTTTTGCCTAATGTTCTACTGATTGCTGAGGAATGTACCAAAGAAGAATATGTTAAACTAATTCTACCTGAACTAGGCCCCGTCTTTAAGCAGCAGGAGCCAATCCAGGTATGGTGCAGATGATTTTGCATTATTTTTTTTTTAATTCATTGGTATTCTTCATTAGGATGGCTGTCATTGAAAACAAAAGGAATGTGTACTGACTTTTTAAAATTTGAGGTCAGAATATTATACTTTCTTTTCTCTTGGTGATACAGCTATTTCGTATGTGATTGAATTGAACCATTCCTAAAATTATAAATGGACTTTGAAACTTTATGTTTGGAGCTTTTCATAACTTGCTATCTCAGAAAATAAGTTGTATTGAGAATTTAAAAAAAATTTAGTGTTCTTATTGATCCTGCTGGAAGTTATAGATGTTTGTTTGCTTTTAATAGTTTTAATGCAACTATTAGTAAATATTGTGTTTTACCTAAGTAATTACTATTAACTCTGCCTTAGATCACCGTGTCTCATCAGGTTTCCATTACATCTTGCCTATTCCTTCACCACCCCCATCTGTCCACTAATCTCTGCTGTTCTAGTAACACTTTTCTCTCCTCCCCTTCTTTCACCCTTTTCTTTTCCTCCTTCCCTTTTGAACCTGGAAGGTGTAAGTTTGGTTAACAAAGGTCCTTCGCTCTCATGCATACGCTTTGGTTTGTTTGCTCTCTAGGGCCTTCAATTTGTAGATTAATTATTTCAGTTATTTATCTTCTTATCTGCTTAATAAACACTGCAACCAGAAAACAAGAGTATATACAATTCCATGGAAATACTTTATTTATGTATTCTGAGTAAAAAGGGTTGTTGTTGTTTTTGCTGTTGTTGTTATGTGCCATAGAGCTGTCTGCGACTCATAGCAACCCTATGCACAACAGCTCTCAAGGCTACCCTGTCCTGAGTCAGTCTCATGGACTCCAACACACCTACCCCATCGCACTAGTTACTGTATCAATCCATCTCATCCAGGATCTTCCTCTCCTCCGCTGTCCCTTGACCGTTCCGAGCATGTTGTCCTTCCCCAAGGATCTGTCCTTCCTGGCCATATGTTCTAAGTATGTGAGGTGGAGCTTCAAAATCCTAGCCTCCAAGGAGAAACTTGGTTTTTTTACTCTCTCCAAAACAGACCTATTTGTTTTCTTTGTATGTTTCCATGGTATGTTCAAGACTCTTTTCCACTACCATAACTCAAAGGCATCAATGATTCTTCTGTCATCCCTAGTCATTGTACATTTCTCTGATGCATAACAAGTAATGGCAAAGACTGGCTTGTATCAGACACGCCTTAGTTTCTAGACTAATGTTGTTGCTTCTCAGTACTCCGGAGAGGTCCTATAACAGCAAATTTACCTAATACAGTTCATCTTTTGATTTTCTGACTGCTGGTGCCAAGAATGTTGGTTGAGGAGCCAAGCAAGCCGTAACTGTTAATAACCAAGTCTCTTCTCCATACATCATGGTGCTGCCAGTTGGCCCAGTGGTGAAAATGGTAAATGGTAAATGCTATTTCAGTGTTGATGTAGACAAAGACAGGGTAGTCTAGATTTATGATGCATAGAATCATACATTAGGCTTTGAATTTGCTCTCCTTCCTATTCTCAGACACATGATAGTAAAGCATTAAGTTCTTTATATAGATTGAAAGGGTAGGGAGATAGGACACATCCCTGGTGTACACCCTTCCCAATTTTGAACCATTCAGTGTTTCCTTGCTCTGTTCTGACAACTACCTCCTGTTAGTATAGGTTTTGTATTACTCTCATTCTTCTCAGAGTTAGCCACAGTTTCTTGTGATGCACACAGTCAAACACCTTTGCATAGTCAATAAAACACAGAGAGGCATTCCTCTGATACTCCTTATTTTCAGCCAAGATCCGTCTAACATTAGCTACAATATCCCTAGTACCATGACACCTTCTAAACCCAGCCTACAGCTTTTTGCTGATGGGCTGTTCCAGTTAATTTTGGATAATCTTCAGCAGAATCTTGTTTGTATGTGATATTAATGGTACTGTTCGATAATTTCCACACTCTGTTGGGTCACCTTTTTTTGGAATGGGAACAAATGTAGACCTCTTCCAGTCAGTTGACCAAGTGGTTGTCCTCCAGATTTCTTGGCACAAGTTAGTGAGCACATCTAGAGTAGCATCTGTTAGTTGAAATACATCAATTGGTATACCGTCAATTCCTAGTATATATAAATAATAACCTGTCATAAGAATTATTTATATCATGGGGACTTTTTAATACTGTGTATATATATGTACCAGTAAAGATGCACAGATACATACTTCTGTGTGTATACAGTAAAATATAATGTAGATGCCTTTCTCCTTGTGCCATCTTACCAGGGTTAACAAGTCTAAAATATGTCTTACGCTTTATGAGTTTATATAATCCGACTGCATTCATTTAAATATTGGAGGCTTTGTTATTATTAGGTTAATGGTAATGGAATTATCTGCATTTCTTTGTCATGGAGGGAATATTTACAAATCAACTGGTATAAATTTAACCTTTTAAAATATTCTGTGCTTTGAGTGTACTGTGAGTGTACCATGGTTTATTCAGTTATCCTCTTTTGTGTCCAACTTTTTTGTTACATGTGGTACTTCATACCTACAACTTTATATAATATCTTTTGTGTGTGTGTGTGTGTGTTTGCCAGCTCCTTTTATTTCTATTATGGCTTGAAGGTTTATAAAACATACTGGTTTTCCATTCAGCCATTTTATCTTATAATATGAATCGCACATTCAACAATATGATCACACTCTTACACTTCTTATATATAATTCTAATTTGTATAATCTTTCTGTCCTTCCTCTTCACTCCTCTGGACTTTTTGTTGGGAAATGCTCCTTTTTTGACTTTAAATGGTTGGTTATCTGAGGAGTGAGTGCTTCTCTGAGGTTATTGATCACCTGACAGGCATTTTTTTGTCTAAAAGGGGAGCTATGAGGGTATTTCCCCCTGTTCCACAGGTCAATTTCTTTTCACAACTTTTCATTTTTATAAAATGTATTTATTAGTGGAAGACCAAGACTAATGAACTACATGCTTTGCTGTCTGTGCATGAACTGACCAGTCACCAGACGTGATGAGAGGAAAGGCATTTTTTTATTTACATAGTGATTTGTGAACTCAAGAGTTGACAGGGTATAAAACTTGGTAATTTACATTTGAATGATGCTGTTCAGATCGTTGTTTTTGTTATGTGCCATTGAGTCACTTGTGGCAGCCCTATGCACAGTAGCTCTGAACTCTGTCCTATCCTTAGCCAATCTCATTGTCTCAGAGACCTCTGTCTCCGTTTCACCAGTTACTGTGTCAGTCCATCTTCTCCAGGGTTTACCTCACTTGTACTGTCGTCTCTCCATCCTTCCAAGCATGAAGTCCTTCTCCAAGGAATGATTCCATCTGGCAATATGCCTGAAGTATGTGAGATGGAGCCTCAGAAGCTTTGCTTCCAAGGAGCAGCTTGGTTTTGCCCTCTCTAAGACAGAGCTGTTCATTTTCTTGGCAGTCCGTAGTATGTTCAGTACTCTTCTCCAGAACCACAACTGAAAGACATTGATTTTTCTTCTATCATCCTTAGTCATTGTCCAGCTCTCTGAAGCATAACAAGCAATTGGGAAGACAATTTCCTGGATCAGGTACACTTTAGTATCCAGACTGGCTTCATTACTCTTCAGTACTCTGGAGAGGTCCCTAACAGATTTTCCCAATGCAGTTCATCTTTTGATTTCCTGAATGCCGCTGCCAAGAAAATTGTTACCAACCTCAGTCTCTTCTCCATTTTTCATGGAGGTGCCAGTTGCTGCCAGTTGGCCCTGTGGTGAAAAATCTGTCTTCTTAATGTTGAGTTTCAATCCATATTGCAGTTCAGATCATTAGGATCATGATGTTTGAATCATGCTTTCTCTTGAGTTAACTCTCTTTCAATTTGTGTATCATCTGCTGTGGCCTAGAATCTCAAATAGTCACGCATGTCAGACTTACCCTCACTAAAGATAATAAATGAACTTTGCTTTAGAAAAGGACATCGTGCCTAAACAAGTAAAAGGTAAGCTGTAAAAAGAACAAGAGCCATGTGCGTATGGCCATATCTGACCTTTACCAACTTCACAAAGGGGAACTGTCCCAAAAAACAAAATCAGCAACACAGACCCAATTCCCAGGAGAGCATACATGTTTTCTGTGCTCCCACACCTCCTTCCACTCACCCCAGCACCAATATTATTGCCTTACTGGGTCCAAAATCTGATGTGATAGTTTACAGACCACAGAGAACCATATTGAGGAAGTCAAAGGCTATATATAATTCAAAGATTCTCACCACTGGGCCAATTGGCAGCCTCATGATAGGTGGAAAAAGAGATAGTCTTGCTAATATTGACTCTTCCCTCCAAAGTCCTCCAACAAACTTGGGCAAAAGGCTCTTAGCTTTGGTCCAGTGACATAGCAGTTCCAAGGTCCACTCCATCTCATGTCAAGTCTTTGGTTCTCCACTGTCACTGCTATGGCTGTTGCTCATTTAGGCCATAGTCTGGCTGATGCAAGAATCTCTGGTCCTGAAGAACTCAGTACATTCTCTTCTTATTTGCTGCTGGTGAAATGTCTTCTATTCTGCTGTTGAATCTACTCAATTTAATGGTGAGACTAGCTAATCCCCTTGTGGATTGGTGAGACTAGCCAGTCCCCTTGGGGATAAGCTAATGTGCCCTATTTGCATATTCCCACCTATCCACAGAGTCAAGTCAAATTCTGTGTCTAGGAAAGTCATTTTGAACACTAAACTATTCATATGAGCAAAGGAAGGGGCGACCTCTGAGATGGATTGACACAGTGACTGTAACATTGGGCTCTAATGTGGCAGAGATGATAAAGATGGCACAGGACAGGTTGGGGTTTGGATCCATTGTTCGTAGGGTGGCTGTGAGTAGTAGTCAACTTGACCATAATTAACAACTGCAACATTTGGAATTGGTAACTGTAGTTCCTGTTGATTAGAACTATGCAAAATAAGATCTGGCTCCCAAATACTCTTCTGATTTTAAAAGTATCTTGATCATTTTAATTTATTTGATGTACTCAAAGATTATGCTATTAAAGTGATATTGTAAAAAATTATTTGTTTCTAAAATGTGCCATATAATTTTGAGCTGCTGTAAAAGAATGTATGGACTTTTTATCAGGCACTTTAATAATCATACAGGGATCTCATTGGAAGTTCATTAAATACTTGAGACTCATTACCTCTTAACCCAGAAATATTGATTGCAGTGCTTTTTTGTAATCTATGTAACTTTATAGACTTGGGAAATTAGTCTTTATTTTTAAGAGATTAAGGTACTAGTTGGAGTGTAGTAGTGTGTTTTCTAAAATATGAGAGTCCTGAATTGTGTATTTTTGTCTTCCATGCCTTCAGGCTAGCAACATGGTGAGTGTTAAAATTGATAACTTTTTTTAAAAGAAACTTTTAAGTTTTGTCCTATATGTAACCTCTTAAGGATTCTAGATTTTAATACATTATTTCCCTTTTCCCTAAACAGATTTTGTTAATTTTCTTACAAAAAATGGATTTGCTACTCACCAAAACTCCTCCTGATGAGATAAAGAACAGTGTCTTACCAATGGTGTATAGAGCACTGGAAGCTCCTTCCATTCAGATCCAGGTACAGTGTTTGACTTGATGATGTTTTTGATTTTTAAAGCAGAAGAAAAACAGACAGGCTTTTCTGGGTTTAACTAAAACTTTTATGTAACCCTCATCAATAATATTTATCAAATTACTGCTCTAAACAACAGAAGCAATGTTTCTAGTTTTAACAAGTTTAAAGGTTCAATTGTTAAATTCCTACACTGAAAAGAAAATGATTTACTATTGTTGTTATTTGACACCTAGTAAGAAACAACTCATAGCAGAAGTTTATTATATATGTAAGGTAAAATTTAGTCTAGATTATTGATAGACCTTTTTCTGTTGTTGCTATGTGCATCGAGTTGGAACCACCACATAGCTCCAATGGGTTTAAAGAGGCAATAAATTACACAGGAGGAGATTTCCCATCTTTTTCTTGTAGAGCAGCTCTTGGATTCAAACCATGTGCCTTTGGGTTGACAGCACAGCTCCTTACCACCAGACCACTGGAGCTCTTTTGTTTTCTGCCTCTTTTTAAATGGATAGTTGAAATATGAATGAAAGTATGCTATAAAAGTGTGAAAGATTGTTGCCTTTTTAAAATCCAAACATTAAGTAGATATTCTCCACACTCATTCTTTCAAATTTGAGGTATGAGTGTCCTACCTAGAAGTGCTGTTCCTTCTGCACTGATAACTCTGTGCATTGCACAAATTAAGTGCAGCATATAGACAAACAGAATGTAATTTGGCATAATCATCTCTCATACTTTTATACTAATGCTTTAGTTCTTCAAACAGCATACACTTTGCCAAACTTTAAGCATTTACTTTTAAAATTTTAGTTGTGTATCTTATCTGGGAAATAATTTTGAATTACAATTACCTTTAATTTTATCCTTTCACTGTGAGAAATGTATACATATGTTGAAAACATCTCACTGCACAACTGGTTTTCTATTTAAAAAGTTATAGTCTCAAAAAAAAAAGTTACAGTCTTTACCAGTATAGGAATTCTAATGAAGAAGACAATAATTTTGATTTATTAAAGCTATTGATTAGAACTTTTTTTAACATGAACCTAGAACCACATATATAACAAGGTCACTTTTAGAACTCATTTCTGTCTTTATCTACTAAGGCATTTATTTTGTTTATTCAAGGTTAGTAGGTCAGTGTAAAAACATTCTGAGATCACCATTAAGAGTATGTATTCAAATAATAGAAGATGAGTAGGGATGGTGTATTTACTTTTTAGCCCTTTTCAAAGAAATTATGAATTGTAGTCCCTTGAAACATTCCCATGAACTCTGTATAGATTTTATGTTCACTTTGATTAAGAAGGAGGTGAAAGGTTCAGTGACATAAAAGGCCATTTTTCTCGACAAGGGACAGATACTTTCCAAGGGAGATATTTAAGCTAATAAACACCAAACATTTTTTAATTATAATTATTATATAATTCAAATCAACTTGTGTAGCTTTGTTACATTTTAGAAACCAGTATTTTTAATATCAGTCAATATGTATCTTTAATATATGTTACTAATTAATTAGTATGAATGGTACTGGTAAGAAACAACTCAGGATTCTAGAACAGGAAACAAAATCTTTCCTTCACTCTTCATGCAAGTAGAAAGTTAGGTGGAGTCTTCTGAAATTAATTTTTGCAGTAGATATTCTAAAAGTGAAATTTGATTAGAAGCACTTAAGATGGTTTTGGAGAACATTTATAAAGATAAGTTTGCTTTGCAAAAGCTTGAAGCATTAAAACATATCATTGCAGAAATATGTATGGAATAGCTTATTATTTACCTTTTAAATTAAGCCTAAAAGTTATATTCATTCTACCTCCCACACACATACCAGCTATACACAAAGTATTAAAGAGTAAGCAAGAATTCCTAAGAATTACTCCAGTTCAGTTTCTTTGAATTTTGAGGTTTTGTTTTTGTTTACTTTTTTCATCTTCTTTTGTCTTAGATTCTTTATCTTCCTATCTCCTGGGAAGAAAGCTCACCTATCCCTTAATGAAGTGATTTAGACATAATCTAAGAGTTACCTCTTTGTAAGCTACTGCCTTGAGCTTCAGTATGCAGCACTTAGCATTAGCACTTTATAGTTGTTTTGTAGTATTGCAGATGCTAGGGTTTGTGTGCTGAAAGCCTGTCTCTTTCAGTATAATCAATGTAAAGTGGATGTCTCTTAAGGAGACACCTTCTGGTAATAAGGAGACACTTTCTGATAATAAGAGCACTGCTCATTCTCCTCTACCATCTGTGGAAAGTGGAAGTGTAAATGTAGCTGCATTTCTTATTCTCTAATTACATCACCCACATAAATACTGTAGTTGAGCGTGGGTATGAAAATAGAACTCTTTACATCTGATTTGAAAATAAGTTAAAGCAGATAAAATACATGATAGTCTTTTGTTAACACATTCTCAGTAGTTAATTAATTTCCATTTGCTAACTACAAATATTTATATGCTTATGAAATAATATCAATAGCTGTTTACCTGCTATATATTTTCTTCAGTAATCTCTTTTCTTATGTTCTTCATTTTTCTTACAAAGAGCATTGCTCATAGATCATTGTTCATTTCGCCTGTGCAAGGGATCTGACTTGGATGTTTTTTAGCCAGATTGTTCTCAGGCTCCTTTTTTTCTTTACTCATTAAGTACCTAGCCCCTGTGAGCTTTATCCCCATCTGTCCCTTTTCTTCCTTTTTCATTCAGAGTTCCCAGTGCTGTATGACACCATCTTAGTTAACAAAAGACTTAAATAACTTTTCATGCTTCTGCAAGCTACACCTATTTAAGGTGTACAATTTAGAAGAACTTGCAAAGAAAACAAAAGCCCTTTCTCAGAGTGGCCACTGTTAACATTTTAGGATGTATCTTTCCAGTGATTTTTTCCCCCAAGCATATAGACAGACACTTAGATATACATACACAATTTTTAAGGTTGGAATTATAATACTGTTTATTACAGTTTTTTCCTTAATACTATTAAGAAGTTCCAAGTTATTGCCATGGAATAAGAACTGAATCGTAGCTGACCCTCCAGTGGAACCCCAAGGCAGGAAATTGCATAGGAGGAGATTGACTCTCTTTCTCCCACGAAAGCACAGGCGAATTGGAACCTCCACAGAGGTGTGACTTTTGGGTTAGCAGTACAACTCTGTATGAACTCTACTCCCTAAACAGTCTTCTAGAATAAAAAATGTTTTTAGCATATGGATATTAGTAACAGTTAAACTCTTAATTTAAGAGAAATTATCTTTATGTAACTTTGAATTTAGTTTTCCTTAATGTAAAAGATAGAAAAATTTAGGTATTCTCATATTTGAAAACTGAATGAAGAATTACTCTAACCAGCGAAAGAGTTGGGAATGAGACTAGGGAGTATTAATTCCATGTCCTAGTTATGTGGCCTCATATGTTTTCTGGAGCCTGTTTGATTATCTGCAAAATTTAAAAAGTGGTTTTCACTATTTCTTTTACAAAGAGTTGTGGGAGGAGGAAGAAAGAAAATGTATAACAGTGAGTGAATAAAAAACCAATTTTTCTGTGAACTTTCATTAAAATCATAATAAAAAAAGGATTGTGGGAGAACCAAATGACACATGGAAGTTTTGAGTAAAGTGTATGTTAAATGAGTCCTGCAAATTAAAAAAAAAAAAAAAAACCCAACCCAAATTTATTTTGTTTGTTTATTTTTAATATGCTGGAGACTGAGAAAGTATTTCCTAAAATTGATCCAAGAATTATTTTCTTCTTAGGAACTCTGCCTAAACATCATTCCAACCTTTGCAAATCTTATAGACTACCCATCCATGAAAAATGCTTTGATACCAAGAATTAAAAATGCGTGTCTACAAACGTCTTCCCTTGCTGTAAGTATTATGTTTTTATTTTTCTTCTTCTTCTCCTTGGCTTAAATAATTTTCTTTTTTCAACAATCCTTTTGTAACTTGTTCATAGATTTTTATTCCTAGGTAGGTAAACAAATAGACTGTGAAAGTGAGCAATACCTTGCTTTTCCTGATACACAAATTACAATGTTGCATCTTTCATTTGCTCCTCCTCCTCTTTGGGCACCTCAAAAATACTTTAAGTGATTGAATTTTTTTTTTATGCTTATGTTCATAACATTCAGATTAAGACAGATTAGGAAGACGGATTGGCCATTCACTTCTGAAATAGCAGGCCTCTGAAAACCCTATGTACAATAAAACACATGTAGATAACAGAAAGGGCAACTGAAGTTGAGCTTCCAAGTATGGAAGCACAAAGCAGACACTAGTGATTGGGATATGGAATGTGAGAACCACGAATGTAGGAAAATTAGATATTGTTAAGAAGGAAGAAATGGAACACATAAATATTGACATACTAGGCATTGGTGAGATGAGATGGACTGGCATGGGTCATTTTAAGTCTGATGATCATATGGTATATTACTCCAGAGATGAAAAGGTGAGGAAAAATGGGGTTGCTTTCATAGTTAAAAATGTTATTGCAGGATCCATCTTGAAGTACAATATTGTGAGTGACAGGATAATATCCATACACATACAAGGAAGTCCACTGAATACTATCATTCAGATATATGCACCAACAACCAGAGCCAAGAAAGAAGATATAGAAGATTTTTATCAACTTTTACAGTCTTTGATGATCGATCTCATCCAAATTTATCTAGTGGAATATGAGTATTTAAATTAAATTACTGCTCAATAATATTTTTTCCTCTTCTTAAGATACTAGCAGAGCCTTGAAAGGCATCTTGTTTATAAGGAGATCTAGGGAATGGATTTATAATAAAAACTGCTTAATAAATGTGCATTTTATATGCTCCTACTTCAGAGTGACAAATAGGAACTCTTAAGTTGTATATATAGTGCCTTAAGATTTCAAAATTCATCCACACCAGTTAAAAAAAAACCAAAACTTGTCAGAAAAAAAAGATTTAAAAATTCTTTCTAGGAAATCCTGAAACATAATCATGAGTTAAAATTATGTAACTTAGGGGAGCTCTGGTGGCCTAGTGGCAAGGAGCTGCAAGTACAATCCCACAGGCACACGGTTCGAATCCACCAGATGCTCTGCCGGGAAAAGGAGGAACAATCTCCTCCTGTACCAGTCAGATCTGATTTGACGGTACACTCACACAAAAATTAAAAAAAAAAAAAAAAAGGAAGGAAAAAAATTATGTAACTTAATTGTTGTATGTGCCATCGAGTCACCTGCAACTCATAACGACCCTATGTACAACAACCCTAAGCCCTGCCCTGTCCTTTGCCAATCTTATTGTCTCTGACACACCTAATCCCGCATCCCCAGTCATTGAATCAATTCATCTCATCGATGGTCTTCCTCTCCTGCACTGTCCCTCACCTTCCCAAGCATGACATCGCTCTCTAAGGACTGGTCCCTCCTTGCAACATGTCCACAGTATGTCAGACGAAACTTCAGAATTCTTGCCTCCAAGGAGCAGCCTGGTCTCACCCTCTCTAGGATGAATCCTTTTGTTTTCCTGGAAGTTCATGGTATATTCAATACTCTCTCCAGCCTCACAGCTCAAAGGCATCAATTCTTCTATCATCCCTATTCATTGTCCAGCTTTCTGATGCATAGCATGTAACTGCAAAGACTATGACCTCGTTTAGTTGCACCTTAGTCTCCAGACTGACATTGTTGCTCTTCAGTGCTTTGGAGAGGTCTCTGACAGTTAACTTTCCCAATGCAGTTTGTCTTTTAATTTCCTGGCTGCTGGTACCGAGAGTGTTGATTGTGGAGCCAAGCAAACTAAAGCTGTTAAAAATCTCAGTCTCTTCACCATCTATCATGATGCTGCCAATTAGCCCAGTGGTGAGAATCTTTGTTTTCTTGATATTGAGCTTCAATCCATATTGAAGGCTGTAGTCTTTGACATTCTGCAGCAAGCACTTAGGTCCTCCTCAGTTTCCACAAGCCGGGTTATATCATCTGCATAATGCAGATTGTTGATGAGTCTACCTTCAATCCTGATGCCACACTTCTCCTCATAGAGCCTAGCCTCCCGGATAATCTGTTCTGCATATAGATTGAAAAGGTATGGAGATAGGACACATTCTTGTTGTGTACTTCCCCAATTTTGAACCATGCAATGTTTCCCCTCTCTGTTCTGATGACTGCCTCCTGGTCTAATATCTTAATGTTGTTCCCAGTAATAAATTGTAAAGAAGAAATGCTGTAACAGCTATATTTATACATGAATTGTATGATTGTTATTCCATACTTTCTGAAAGAAAATAAAACTAAATATGTCCAGTTTCTCCTAAAATATATGTATACTAGTAAGATACCGTGATTCTTTTCAGAAAATGAATTCTAAGAACAAGCCAAGCCTTAAGATACCTCTTTATGAATTTTTAATGTTCCTTGTTTTGAATTTCAGAAAATAGTTGTATATTATTTTTAGAATAGAAAAAAAGAAATGGAATTTCTTTTTTTATAGAAGTAGGCTACTCCCCCCCTCCAACCAAGTATGTTTTTCTTCTTATATCTTTTTGTAAAACTGGGATTTTACAGATTTTAAGGTTTTGACTCAAAGGCAGTCTGTTTTAAAAAAATTCTAGCTCAAAACTAGAGTATGAAATATTTAAAAAAATAGTTAATTGGGCATAGAACTTGATAACTTAAAAGCTTCAGTGAACAAAGACTTATCAAGAAGTAGAAATCTTTTATATAGAATAAATATGGGTATTCCATATGTGTTTTAAATAAACTGAACTTGAATTTTAGGTTACTATTTTAGTGAGGAGCTATCCTGAAAGGAACGTTCTTAGTGAAGATCTATAGAAGTAGGCATCGCTTAATATCCACGATTAGTTCTGTAAAAAAGGTTATAAGTGATTTTCATGTTGAATGAATACCATCCTCACTGCTGCTACTGCTGGCATCATCAGCTGCTTCAGAGAGCAGGAATAGGACAGAGTAAAAACAAGCAGGGACCTAGTCTAGCCTTCTGCCTGCTTGAGCAGTAGGAGCATTCCAGCCTGTGCAGAGCCATGTCCTCTGACTCACCTGCCTGTACCCCACCTATGGTCCATTGCTGTGGGAGTCTAGGTTTAGGGTCTTTAAAATCAAGAGAGGAAAAGAACAAGAAGAGAATTTTTTTCCTTTATAATAAACCAAAAACCCCTTTTGAAACCACAGGTGTGTATGTGTTGGGACAGTGCTTCAATGGACAGTAAGCGAAACATATCTGTATAATAAAATCCGCCACTGTTAAGTCTGTTCTAAGTTAGAGTGTCTCTCCGTTAGGTATCTCAGACTTTAAAACTCAACAGTAGATGAGATTCTTTTTCTCCTTTATCTTTCCAGTAGTTGTTGATAGGTTTAAAATGCTAACCTTTCCTTTAGCAGCTCAAGCAACACATGACCTGGTAAAAGCTTCTGAAGTCTTTGTCACTTTATTAAAAGTGTTGGAAAGTTAAAGCCATTCCTTGTCTTCACTTAACTAGTATTCTAGTGAACAGTCATATTCTTAATCATCTCAGGGAAATGTTAATAAAGGATAGTAGCTTTAACCCGTATTTTATTTTTGAGAGTTTAATCTGTGTGTATGAAGATGAAACTGAAGTTTAAATATTTTGTTCTTAAGACAAATGACTAATGCACTTTATCTTTTTTTAATAGGTTCGTGTAAATTCATTAGTGTGCTTAGGAAAGATTTTGGAATACCTGGATAAGTGGTTTGTACTTGATGATATTCTACCCTTCTTACAACAAATTCCATCCAAGGAACCGGCAGTCCTCATGGGAATTTTAGGTAGCTGTAAACTTAATTTCCTTTTATTAAACTTGATTATTTTGTAACCATGCACATAAATTATCTTATAAAATCATTCTACACTCTACTAATTGAGGATAGAGTAAATATATCTGTCTGTATTACTTTTAGCAGAAGAAAGAAGAACTTTGACATTTTATAAATGTGTAAGGCCTTTGGGAGCTCTGGTGGCCTCATGGCAAAGAAGCTGCACTGCACTCCCGAAGGCATGGAGTGTGAGGCCACCAGCAGCTCTGCAGGAGAAAGATGGGCAACCTCCTCCCATGGATTAACTGCCTCTGAAAACCTGCCAGAGTGTCAGCTGTGGGTCGGTTTCCACTTTGTGGTACACAATCAGACATTTAGGAATCTTTGCTTCATAAGTACTGTGTACTATAATGCCGTTTAAATTTCCTCTTAAAATGGTTCAAAGTAAAGGAAAAACAGTGGGTGCTACGAGTGATGATATGTGTCTTACTAATACTACGATATATTTATATAAAATACTCAAGTTATAAGAGGTATTAAGTACTTTCTCTGCGGTATTGTATTTGTCATCCACGGAATTGCATGAAATAAGTAGATATGTTGCCTCAATCAGTCAGAATCAACTCAAGGTTAGTGGACAACATTTCTTTTTCAGAAGGAAAATGAAACAGTGGTTAAATAACTTATTCACTGATGAATGCTTGAACTGGTTTTTTAATTTAAGCATGTTTAAATCCTAATGCGTATGTTTCACTGTTGATTAACATACTGCTAATGCACCTTAGCCTTGAAGCACATTCTATTCTAGCAGTTAATTATAAATTACTCCAATATAAATTATTTGTAATAGCTGTCCAAGTCTTAGCTGGAAATTCCAGGGATGCACTGTACTTATAGAAATAGGCAGTTTGTAGAACTACATAAACAACAGATTGACTTTTTACTGAATATGAAGTTCTTTGTTTATCTTGAAGAAATTGTTACTCATCTCTGTATCTTAACACTTATAACTTAACTATAGTGTCATTTATAGGAAATTCTCTGTAAATATTTCTATGAGTGTCAGCCAGCATTGTGATCCTTTGTAGACAGAACTTCTTAGAAAATTTTTTGTAACTTTTATGCTCAAATTTGGGGTGGTCCAGTGGGGCGGAGCTACACTGCCAACCCAGAAGCACATAGTTTAAACCACCAACCGCTCTGTGGGAGAAGGGTGGCCAGTCTCCTCCTGCCCGATTTACTGCCTCTGAAAACCATGAAAGAGTCAGCTTAGGGTCAGTTCTGACTTGATGGCACAAAACAAAAACAGAGGCTTTAGTAGAGTGGAAAAGAGCCCTGGCTTAAATTCTAATTCAGTGACTTAGGGCAAATCTTTAAGATATAAAATTAGTAGAAAAATAACATCATAATCATATTCTTCTGAGAATTCAGAGAGACACTGAATGGAAAGAACCTAGCATAACTCAACTCATTGTTGACAAGAATCAACTCATAGTTGATCTTTTTGTGAGTTTTCAGAGGCTATAAATCACATGTGGGAAATTGTCCCTCTTTTCCCATAGGGTATGTTGTTGTTGTATACCACCAAATGGGAACAAACCCATAGCTGACCCTTCAGCAGGTTTTCAGAGGCAATTAATCATACAAGAGGAGATTGTCCGCCTTTGTGCCCAGAGTAGCTGGTGTATTTGAACTACGTACCTTTGGGTTTCCAGTACAACACTCTTGGCACCAGTAGCCAGGAAGTTAAAAGGTGTATTGCCATGGAAAGTCTGCTGTTAGGGACCTTTCCAGAGTTCTGAAGAGCAATGGTGTCTCTCTGGAGACTAAGGTGCATCTGATACAGGCCATGGTCTTCGCAATCACTTGTTATGCATCACAGAGTTGGACAATGACCAAGGAGGACAGAAGGAGAATTGATGCCTTTGAACTGTGGTGCTGGAGAAGAGTATTGAGAATACCATGGACTGTTAGGAAAACAGATTTGTCCTGGAAAGGGTCAAACCGGGCGGCTCCTTGGAGGCAAGGATTCTGAGGTTCTGTCTAACATACTTTGGACATGTTGTAAGGAGAGACTGGTCCTTGGAGAGGGACATCATGCTTGGTGGGGTGGAGGGACAGCACTGGAGGGGAAGACCCTTTATGAGGTGGATTGATTCAGTGACTGGGGTAATCGGGATGGCTGCATTGGAGACAGTGCGATTGGCACAGGACAGAGCAGAGTTTAGGGCTCTTGTACATAGGGTCGCTATGAGTCACAAGCGAGTCGACGGCACATAACAACATGCTACCAGAGCTCCCAATGGAGGGAGTATGGGGCTTAGCAAATAAAGATTTCATATCTCTCAATAAAGTATTCCAATGAGTTTATCAACAGGAGAATAGTAATATGCTATTTTCTAAAGTTTTGACTTACATATAAAATAATGAGAACCTCACTGAAAATATTTCCAAGAGCAGAAACAAATGTGCAGTTTTTCAGGTGAAGGCTTTGTGGATGGATATGAAAAGCAGAATTGTGAAGGTTAAGTAAGTAGGTGAAGCAGTGCAGAAGAGTAGCCTGGGATTGAATTAAGAGTGTTGTTGTTATGTGCCGTTGAGTCGTTTGCGACTCATAGTGACCCTATGTACAACAGCCCTAAACCCTGCTCTATCTTGTGCCAACCGCACTGCCTCTAACACACCCATCCCGATTACCCCAGTCACTAAATCAATCCACCTCATAGAGGGCCTTCCTCTCCTGCGCTGTCCCTCCACCCTCCCAAGCATGATGTCCTTCTGCAAGGACCTGTCCCTCCTTACATCCAAAAGATTTCAGACGAAGCCCCAGAATCCTTGCCTTCAAGGAGCAGCCTGGTTTAACCCTCTCTAGGATGAATTTGTTTGTTTTCTTGGCAGTCCATGGTACATTCAGTACTCTTCTCCAGCACCACAGCTCAAAGGCATCAATTCTCCTTCTGTCCTCCCCAGTCATTGTCCAACTCTCTGATGCATAACAAGTGATTGCGAAGACCATGGCCTGCATCAGGCACACCTTAGTCTCCATAGAGACACCGTTGCTCTTGAGTACTTTAGAGAGGTCCTTAACAGCAGACTTTTCCATCGCAATACATTTTAAACAGTTTAATTAAGCAGGATCGTTAAAATAAAAATCCCACTATAAAGTGGTGAATAAAATTCTCATACTCCCTAACAGATGTCCCTAACAGCAGACTTTCCCATGGCAATACCTTTTTTGATTTCCTGGCTGCTGGTGCCAAGAGTGTTGACCATGGAGCTGAGCAAACTGAAGCTATGAATAATATCAATCTCTTCACCATCCATCCTGATGCTGCCAATTGGTCCAGTGGTGGAATCTTTGTTTTGACATTGAGTCTCTGTCCATACTGAAGGCTGCAGTCCTTGACCCTCTGCAGTAAGTGCATGAGGTCCTCCTCAGTTTCAGCAAGCAAGGTTGTGTCATCTGTATAACACAGGTTGTTAATAGATCTTCCACCAATCCTGACGCCACACTTCTCCTCATAGAGCCCAGCCTCTCGGATAATCTGCTCTGCATACAGGTTGAAAAGGTAGTAAGTAGGCTTAGAAAATACTGAGTCGATTTCCTGGAGAAGTATGCCTATATGTACACACTTCGAGTGATAAATTTTCTGCATGTAACATGCTCACAGGAATAATGCATGTACCAACACTGCACCCATAGGAAGTGAATATATAAAAGGGATTGTGCAACTTGCAGTAAACCCCCCTTATTATTATTAATTTCATTGAACACATACAGAGATTTTGGAGTTCTATTCATTCATTGTTGCACTTTTCTCCCCACCCCCACCTGCAGTTTGCTCCTCTCCTTGAAAAGCAAAAGAGAAACTCCTTCATTGGTACACAATCCCCCCCACACCCCACACACCACCACCCCCACCCCGAGTATACTCCACTCTGCAGCCCTCATTCTGGACTCTTATGATAATCATAATGCCCTAAAATGTATTAATTTTAAACTATTCTCTCCCTCATTGGCTTCAATGCAATATACATAATTTGTCCAGTTTTTCTCAGCCCCACCCCGATGTCAGCCTCATTCTACAACAGTGGCACCGTGCAGTATTTGTCGTTTTGTGACAGAGATATTTCACTCAGCATAATGTCCTCCAGGGTCACCCATTTTGAATAATATTGCATGAGTTCCTTGTTTATCAATGCAGTGTAATATTCCATTGTGTGAATATACCACGGCTTCTCTATCCATTCGTTTGTTGATGGGCACTTAGGTTGTTTCCAACTCCTTACTATTGTGAACAAAGCCACGATAAACATGGGTGTGCATATATCTGCTTGGATGTCATTTATGGTCTCTTCAGTATTTGAGTAAAGTAATAGGAGGTACTTCAAATTTGAGTAAGAAGTTTGGAATAGTGACGTTCTAGCCTTACCGTTTCACTGAAAGAACTACCTGATTCTGATAATCTTTTCATGTTACACCGTTAAATACACTCTTATGCCTATAAAATGATTGTATTGTGATTATTTAAATACTGACTAATGATTGCAATCATTCTTATCTGTAAAAGCTTCATGATTCTAGATTTTTGGGGGGGAAGAATTGGGACTATCTTACAGGAAATTTCATATTATTGTTGTTGTTGATTGTGGTTGAGTTGAGCACGTCACATAGTGACCCTATGAACAAAAGGCCTGAAGCCTTTCTATAACTATCAACATTCTAGAGGCATGTTGTTTAGGAAGTGGATGCCACTTCTGCTTCCAGCAGGAAGTTTCATATAAATATGCTGTTTTCATGATTTCTGTTAATTTGTAATGTTAAGTTAAAGAGATGTGTCTTAAAAGAATAAAATGTGTCTTATTCTTTTATATCAGGTATTTACAAGTGTACTTTTACTCATAAGAAGTTGGGAATCACCAAAGAACAGCTGGCTGGAAAAGTACTGCCACATTTAATTCCCCTGAGTATTGAAAACAATCTTAATCTCAATCAGGTAGGAAATTATTCATATACGGTCATTTTTGGACTTAAATATACAATTATACCATGTATAAAAATTGATAGAGTAAGAAAACATGTACCATAGAGTAAGTGGGGGGTGGGAAAGTACTTGGGTACAGAGTGAGACAATGTGAGATGGAAGGATTGGCCTTGAAGGCATCTTTGGGAGGTATAGTAAGTTAGCAGAATTTTGAAAAATCTAATCAGATTTGGACTGAGATATTAACATGAGCTAAGACAAAGTCATGGCTTTAGGGAACATAAGAAAAATAATTATTTTTGCTTTAGAAATCATCACAAATCTCGAAATAAAGCCTCACATTTTCACTATCTCAGTCTCTCAGGTAGGGCATGACTTAGCTGAATTCATAAGATCACCTAGAAAGCTGCAAACAAGGGCAGGAGTCTCATCTTAAAGCTCAGCGGAGAAGAAAGTGCCTGAAATCAGTTTGATGATTAGTGGCACGATTCAGATCATTTGAGACACTGACCTAAGAGCCTCTGTTCCTTACATTCTCATCCTCATTTTCTTGCCTTTGAGACCTCTCCAGCATAGCAGCTAGCTTTATCCAAGCCCAAAAGGGTAGAATCTTCTAGCAAAACAAAAGTTACAATGCCATGTAGTATAACCAAAGGATTACTTTTGCCATATCCTGAAGCAGGTCACAGATTGTGCATACACCCAAAGAGGGTATTACACAGGGCATGAGTACCAGACCGAGGTGATAATCGATTGCGCTGATAGAGTCTGTGTGCCATAAGGAATAGATTCAGATGGTCCCTGAGTCATGATGGGTTTCCTTCCACTGATTCTATCATAAGTCTGTTCTGATATAATGCAAATATCTAATTAAAAAAATTTATTTTTCCATGATGATTACTTGTTATTGTCATTGTCTTTATAAATTTGTCTTTGGGAATTAGAACATTAAATCACTCTAGTGTGAGTGGATTGCAACTCACAGAGAACTGCTACGTAGGGTATATTGCTAGAGAAGTGATCTACCACGTCTTTATTCTTGGAGTGTCTGGTGGATTCAGGGCACTGGCTTTTTGAGTCTTTTTAACATCAGTGCCTCCAGGGCCCCTTTAAGATGCATCTACCCTTTCAAAAAGGACAGTTATGAGGATATTTCATTGTTACTCCTATATCTGTCTTAATTATTAGACCTGTAGTTCAGTTTGACAAGAGAGAAACAGGGAGAAAAGGAGATGAAGACTAAAATAGACTCAACATGTTTTTGTGGTTTATAGAAACTTTGAAGAAATAATAAATGATTGAATAAAGAGGTATTGTTTTCAGAGATTACCGTAGAATCGCGTCTCTGCATACCTCTGATTGCTTTGGTTATCATAACTCTCTTCTTATGTGCTTGATTTTTCCTGGACATTATAGGCTAATAGGAAACTGTAGTAAGGGTAGTCAGTAGCACATTGGCATTGCCAACCCAAAAGGGGAAATCTCCCAATATGATTTACAGCTTCAGAAACCTGATGGAGGATTGTTGTCAATCAGAACTGATTCAGTGGTGGTGAGTTTGAAGGTTTTTTTTATTAGTTGTTTTTTTGGTTGTGTTGTTAGGTGCCATAGAGTACAACTCAAAGCAGTCTAGTACTATAGCTGATTCTTAATTGTATCCCTAGAACCTGGTGCAGGTCCTCAAACAAAAATATTTATTGAATTATGAGGAAAATTGAAATCCAGAGTAATGACAAGGCACTTTGTTCATAGTGGAACTGGCTTTTGATGAGAGGTACATGAAAGAGGCTAGAAAATGTTTTTGTTTTTTTCTTTTTTCTTTAATTGTCCAAGGATTGATCGGCAAGGCAAGATTTATAGTTAAAAGCTGAAAGTGAAAGAATAATGATGAAAGAAAGAATGAAGTGAGCCAGGAGCATCAGGCATTGGAAAAAGTACCTGGATGAGTGGATTTTGGAGACAGTTATTTGTAAAATTAATCAGCTCAGATGCTCTTTGAAGTAATAAACTTGGAGAGTTTGTATCCCTAGGTGTCAGTTTTTGGCTCATTGCTTTGTCTTATGTAGCAAGGTAGAGGTTAGATGAGGAAGAAAGGGAGCTCAGGAGTATCGATAAACAGTAGGATGACAGGACAAAGAAAACCTCTGGTTCTTCTGACTTCTCAAATTTCTGAGTGAGGTTTTTTCCTCTTTCCCCAGGCTTATTTAAGATCTGTAATTTCATTTGAAAGGTTATGCTAGTTTTTTGATTAATATTTTGGGGATAAATTTTCATCAGCAGAAATACACTGATACCTTTTGCTATTTGACCCTAGGTTAGCATGGACGATAAAATTAAAACTCAAATGATATTAAAACATAGTCTTAAATATCCATTAAGAACATCAGTTATTTGAAAGTTAAGTTAGACACATTTAATATTTCTAATGCTCTTAAGAGGACAAAATTTATATTACAAAGTTTATAAAAATATGTTTTGCTATTAGTCCGAATAAACAAAAATTTTCTATGTATTACTAAGTAAATTTTATAAATAAGTACAAATTCAGATGACCAATTTTTGATTATTATAAGGAAATCTGTATATGATAACTGTTGAGATCTAATTTATACAATACCTGAATAATAGCTACTAGACAATTTAGAATATAAAGTTCATTAAAATATGCTTACTGGAACGTAAAACCCCGAGCAACTAACATATTACCATTGTGCATAGTTATTGCACAAGCTTAGTATCCTGAGGTTAGATACTTAAATACACTTTCCTTGTTGTGACATCAGTGCTTTGATTGGGTCATAGTCTAGTTAAGATGGAAACTATTATAATTAACTCATTATAGTAATTGATTATGTTCACTGCTAACTCAAAACATAACCTTATTGATTTCTTTTTATAACAGTTCAATTCTTTCATTTCCGTCATAAAAGAAATGCTTAATAGATTGGAGTCTGAACATAAGACCAAACTGGAACAACTTCATATAATGCAAGAACAGCAGAAGTAAGTAGATTGCAGTTGAAGTGGACATGGTCCACGTGTGAGCTTGAAGTTAATCCTATAATGGAGTTTTCTGGAATCAATGGAATAGAAAAATTGCTGATTTGAATTTGAGCATATGTAGAATATTTTTTCTTTTAACATTTTAAATTGAAGTGATTTAAAATCAAAGAAGTATTGTTGAGACTCTCATTTTTAATGCAATATATTATTGTAAAATTCTGTTCAAGGAAAGGCCCTTTACAGCATTAGCAACTCAAAGAAAAAACTCAAACTCAAATCATTTCTGACTCCTAGTTGCCCCTCCGTTTGTTTTCTGAAGCTGTGAATTACGTGGTAAGAGATTGCTCATCTTTTCCCCACGGAGCTGCTGGTAGATTCAGACCACCAGAGAGGCGTGAGCTGTGGGTTAGCAACACAGCTCCCTGTGGACTCTGCCACCAGAGCGCCCTGCATTAGCCACCAGCATTGTCAGTTCAGGTCCCCGAACACTAAGGCCACCACTTAGGTTTTCAAATCTATGAGAACCTTTATGTTTTGGTTTCTCCTTTATCTTTTCTCAAATTCTGGAAACATTTCTAAAACATTCATTTCATGTGTGATATCACGCTGTTTAAGGAAGATATTCTAAATTATAAAGACAAAGAAAAGGTAGAAATTGGCTTGTTGATGAAAAGCTCCACTTTGATTTTCATCAACCATGAATTTTACCCCCAGAGAAAAATATGATTATAATCTTTGTCCCAGAGAAATACATGATTATAGGTTGCTTGTTATTATTAACTCCTAAATCAGATGACACTGTAAATCAGTACAGTTGATAGCAGTCATCAATAAGATCTCCAACTGGAAACTCTTTAGCTTATGTATGCTCCAGTGTGACAGTGAAAGCTTTTGGTCTATGAATGTATGTAGAATGAGGTTGAATACATTGTTTGAGTGAGCCACTCTCCTCTCACTCTTCTTTTCTGAGCTGTACTACTTCTGTTAACATAAAAGCATTACTCCCAAAGGATCCTATGTAATCTTTTGAGTTGCTGTTACCACTTTGATATCTCATATGGTTCTTAATAAAGAAATTAATGAATAACAGAGAGGTTTTTTTCTTTTACAAGTTTATCTAAATTACTGAGGGGCACGGATAGTGAGACTTCGTCTCACATACTTTGACATATTGTCAGAAGAGACTAGTCTTTGGAAAAGACATCACACTTGGAAAAGTGGAAGATCAGAAATGTAGGGAAATATCCTCAGTTAAATGGAGTGACACAGCCACTGCAACAAAGCAGGCTTAAGCACAGTGGCTATTGTAAGGATTCGGTAAGGTTTTGACCTTTGGTGTATAGCATTGCTATGAGTTGGCGTTGACTCAGCAGCACCTAACAATAAAACTTGGTTGTTGGTTTTAAGAAGACTGTGTTTTATCTTAAGTTTTAAAGATTGTCTCAGCTCAATTATTTCATGGATTTTTGTCCAGCTTCCATGGCTCCAGAATGTAAAAACTCCTTGAGAATTTTAAATTCTTTTCTTTATTTTTCCCCATTTGATCAGGAATTTTCTGGAGGTTCTTTGATGAAAGTGTCCAGTAATGGTTAGTTGATGCCATCCAATTAGGGCAAAATATGCCATCCAAGAAAAACAACTTTTAAAAATCTATAACAAACACAAATTTAGTATCCAGTAATAATTTTGTAAAAATTTTAACAAACACAATTTTAGGGAGTTGGAGTACTAAACCAAAGGTCTCATCTCTCAGGATGTTAGAATCTACCAACAGTTCCATTGGAGAGAGGTGGGCAATCTCTTTTTTATGACTTACAGCCTTAGCAATCCAATGGAGTTTACAACTCAAGAGCAAGGAGAAAAAGAGAAGAGATTAGTATATTGGGTGAAATGGGAAATAAACATTCTTTTCCTCTGCCTGTCTAAATCCTATCCCTTTTCCACGTTATAGATCTGGTCTCCATTGTGTGATTAGACAGTCTTTAGTGTGAATATTTAAAAAGTATGTATCCTTATTTATTGCTTATTTTATCACAACTCATCTCTTGCAGATCTTTGGACATAGGAGGTCAAATGAATGCTTCAGAAGAGATAAAAGCTACAAATGTTGGGAATCAGGTAAGAAAGTAAATTGTTTTACTTCTAGAAGGTTCTTGAAAGTGTACTTCATTTGGGAGACTTTCAACATATTTCAGCAGTAAAATCATTCTTTTATTGACATCTGTTCAAACAGTTTACTTTTTCTCAATTTCAGCAGATCGACAAGGTTTTTAACAGTATTGGAGCTGACCTTCTGACTGGTGGAGAACCAGATAATAAAGACGATGGACTACAGAATAAACATAAAGGAGTAAGTTTCTATGCTATTCTTGATTTAAAATTGTAAGATTTTCTAGAAAGCCCAGATTTTTGGTAAGAAATAGTCTTTAGCATCTAGATAAGAAGTATTTTCTAATTATATGCATGAAATTTAAACATACCATTGGAACATGACCCAACCTCCTACTTGACAACTTTAAAAAAAAAAAAAAAAATTTATAAGTTTATAGCAGAGTTGGGCTTCCATTCATTTATTGCACATTTTCCTCCCTACCTACCAGTTCACTCTTCTCTTTGAAAAAGTTCTTTCATTGTTACACAATTTCCTCTCCTCCCCCAAGTCCACTTTGCTATGCAGCTCTTCCTCAGGACTGTTGCCATGCATATAATACCTAATCATATATTTCTTTTAAACAGTTCTTTCCCTCATCTGTTTCAATGAGGTGTACATTATTTATTCTCTCTTATCTTATTCCCCCCAACTCCCAAGTTGTCCTATTTTATAACAGTGGCATTATGCAGTATTTGTCCTTTTGTGACTGAGATATTTCACTAAGCATAATGTCCTCCATTGTCACCCATTTTGTATATTTTATGAGTTCCTTATTTTTCAGTGCTGCATAGTATTCCATTATGTGAATATACCACAGCTTCTCTGTCCATTTGTTAAAGTCCATGAGCTATCTGCCTTTTTTACAAGCCATACAGGACTGTTAAACAGAATTCGTTGGCACCAACACCCCAGCCTTTTAGCATATCTTTCATCAAGGCACTTACCTCCTTTTGTTCACCAGGTATCTTCTTATATTGCTTCAAATTAACACGAGTGGGCTCAGGTAATTCTGAGGGTTCTCATTTAGCATGTCCTATCCACACTGACCTCAGGGCAGGCTTTTAAGTCCTTAGTTTTACATTTTTCAGTTGTTGTAGTTACATGCCCTTGAGTTGCATGCAACTTATAGCGATGCATACAATAGCTCTGAAGCCTGCCCTGTCCTGAGCCAGGCTCACTGACTCCCAACACACCTAGGCCCATTGCCCTAGTTACTATATCAATCCATCTGATTGGGAGTCTTCCTCTCCTGCACTGTCCTTCCACCCTTCTGAACATGAATGATGTCCTTCTTTTT